GGAGAAATAATTAAATGTTGATGACATTTGAGGATATTTTTTAAATGTTTTTTATGGAATCCTTTATGCAGCCCAGCCTCACCCAGACTCTGCCTCCAGCGGCCCCCGGGTAAATTGAGTTTGAGACCCCTTCTCTAGATCTTCCACGCTACAGTTTTTTTTCTAGAGTGTAGGACTGAGATGGACCATGTGGATCCCTATCCAGGGTAGATGTGGGGTTGGTATCCACTGCTGACTATTAATTGCACCTCAAACTCCACATCAAGTCAATGTAGATGGGTCACCATACACTGCACTCTTAGGAAAACATGGCAAAACACTACACTAAACTAAGATTTGCAGCTTCTAATTCATCACAATGTTTAATACAATGTGTTTTTTTTTTTTTTTTATTTTGATTTTAATTCTTGAAAACAGGAAGCTCTTTAAACCAACTTGGTTCTATGTAAAAAATAATTTGCAAAAATGTTCCTTGGAACTAACCACTTGTTGTATCCCCCATGGCTTATGAAAAGCTTTTGTGAAAACTGGATAGTTTTATATCAGTATGGAGTAATTTCGTTCCAGTATTTTTTTGCAAAATATGTTTTCATTCAGATCGTGATCTGAATAAAGGAAATAAAGGTGAAGGAAATAAGAAGAAATAAATGGGAACAAAATGAGAAACAGAAGGTAATTCTTTACTACTTAGAAGTTCCTAGAAAGCCTGTTGAACTCAAAAGTTTGCAGTATAAACTAGACAAACAAAATATTTTCATGACTCTGTGAAATACATGGAAATTCAAAGTTAAATCTCAGAATTAGAAAACAGCATCAAAAATAACAGTGATTGCAGAAATACTAGAAATGCTAAGTTTCTCAAAATATATTTTTTTGAATGACAAATAATGTTCCAGCCTGAAAACAACACTGCTGAAGAGAAAATGCAAATATTAATCCCAATAATCAAGGCTACAATATATTTATATAATTAGTTGTGTTGTTCAAATTACAAGGACATGATCCCCAACTCATCTGAAATTAAGATATCGACTACTTAGAAGAGGACAACCTTAAGGCTGTGAGTATGTTATTATCAGCCCTTCTGCTCACAAATATTGAAAAACTTGTGGATGGTCCCGCCTGGGTTTATAAGCACAGACTTATTAAACAATAGTACCAAACGTTTCACAGAAAGGTTATGCTTAATGAAATTTGCCTCACATTACATTGAGCCATGCCATTTAGTTGTCATTTCAAACTGAAAGCTACCATAAAAGTGTCTTAAAGCTAACTGTAAGTTAACTGTTGTAAATGAGTTTTCTCACATTCCACAGCAGCAGGCATTTTTGACCAGTTTTGTCTGCATAAAACAACATGGTTCTTCACAGGCAGTCTATATCCAGACCTCAGCACTCCTCTGTTTGCACCTTTCAATCTCCTTCTTGCTCTTCAGAAGCTGCCTCTCGTGTTTATGCGAGTCCGACCTCTTTGCTCGTCCAGGCCTGACTTCTACTTCCACAACTTCACGGCTAAGTGCGCAGCTCCAATCAGGCTGGTGACCCACCACCAGATCCAGAGTGGGTAGAGAGGTAGTGCTGGTCACATCCCTAAATCCAAAAGAAGATGTGAGTGAAGGGCTGTCAGGTGGAAAAGGTTTATATCCACCCTGGATACCTGGACAGCCATCCCAAGACTTTTTCTCTCTCAACCTCAATGCATGACGAATCTTTTTCCAACCCAGATGATTTAACTCTAGGAAGTTCAGCAGAATGCAGAAAACTCCTACACAGAACATAAAGAGGAGGAAGATAGTCTTCTCTGTGGGCCTGGATATGTAGCAGTCCACCGGTTGCCTGCATGGGGAAGAAGTGCAAAGAAATTGGACAGGTACATGGAAGCCATACAGCTTCCACTGGGCCAAGACAAAGCAGATCTCCAAAACAGCCCTCAGACAAACATGGAAAATGTAACATTTGGACTGAACTCCACCAGAAACAACTTGAGCTACCTCAGTGTCCTCTCTGAAGGTGCAGGTTTGGGGATGGATCAAGTTCACTGTATTGTTTAGGTCCTTTTTCTGAATGTTCTGTGTAGTGAGGTCCTCCAGCACATCTGCTAGGCTGTGACCTAGATGTTTATGGGAGTGGATTGAGCAACTGTCCGAGTCACAGCTGCAGTCGAAGGTCTGTTGTCTTTCCTCTTGCTTTACATCAATGGCTTTATGCCTTGGTCGTTTTCCCAGCATCTGAGAGCTATTCTGTGGTTGCTTGGACAGGTTATGCCATGTGTAAATGATAAAGCAAAGCGACGGAGTGGATACACTGATTATGTGAAACACCCAGAACCGAGGCTGTGAGATGGGTGCAAATGTGTCATAGCACACAGTTGAACATCCTGGCTGTAAAGTGTCGCAAACAAACATTTCTTGTTCATCCGTATACACATCCTCTGTAGCAACAGCAACAATGAGCAGCCTGAAGATAACCATGACTGTGAGCCATAGGCGTCCGATCATAGTGGAGTGATGATGGACAGCATCCAGGAGACGTTTGAGCAAAGTCCACTCTGTCATGATTCCTGTTGCTGCTAGTTGCTTCGGTAAAGGAAGAGCTGTCAGGAATAGAGCAGTTTAAGTTAAAATACTCCACCTCTCGCATTCCTGTTAGAAGAATTTTTTCCCCGCTGGTCCACCTAATCTATTGGAGATTTTCTTTTTTGTAGATCTTTTTAGCTTTTGTTGTTTCTAGAAATTACATCTGTTTAGTCCTTAGTCCTTAGTCCTCTAACCTCAAGCACCTCATGTCTGGAGAAAGCCTCTTCTGTCCCCTAATGTTTGCCAGCCCCCTTGGCTGCCCTGTGCACAGTGGAGCCTCTGTATTAGAACCACCCATCTTTCATAGATAAGAAAATCCACTTGACATGAGTCACTTGGCACACTCACATCTCTCTTGTAGTGAGGATCCATTTTAAAACCAAGCGACATCCCCGTTCCTTCCTAAGAGCAGCTACTGATAATGCTGTAACAGAGCATTCTTCACTGATTAGTTTTCTAAAAGCAAAGGAGCTCTTCTTATAACATTGATGTACATTCCAATGTACCGTGTATGCTGTCAGATTCAATCTGCACAATTTACAGCATAGGTATTCACTTGCAAGACAATTAAAGGCAAAAACCGTAAACAATATGTTTCTATTATTGAGGTAAAGAAATTGGCTGATTAAAAACATGCTCTCATGGGAGATAGTGTTGGTGCCTGGTAGGCTTTTCTGTTTAAAAAAGGTTTCAATCCACTTGCCAGTCCTGTTATCTGTGTTTTAAAAAAAGTCAACTGAAAGGGCTGCTTGGCTAAATATGCTTCCAAGATAAAAACACTCAGGCAAGCTATATCACTGTCTCAAGACTAAGTTTGTGTTGTGTTTTTTACATGAATAAAATAATTTATGTCTATTGTCTTGCAGCTGATCTGAGATTGTGTTACAGGAGTAATAGGTCCAAGAGGGCACTACCGCCATCTCTCTTCCTATTGACATCCTCCAGCTCGTTCTGGCAGATACCATGGCCAGACTAGGTGGGATACATGATTCCTCCAGCTAGTTCTGGGTCTTTCTGAAAGTCTTCTTACAGTGGGACAAGCCCAGAAAACCTCCAAATTAAGAACACCAAGGGGCCTCCAAATCACATGTACGAGTACGAACTACCTCAACTGACTTTTCGATTTGGAAAAGTAGCAGCTCTACATAGAGTGTACTCTAGATGAGGGAGGTCCTGATCCTATCTCTTACACTGAGTCAAGCCACCGTGCCAAAGTAGCTCATTTCGACTGTAGGTGAGCGTCGGACCATGGACGGACAGGTAAATCAAGAGCTTTGCTTTTTTGCTCAGCTCTTTATCCACCACAACAGGAGCAGTGCAAACATTAATGCAGATGAAGCCCTAATCAATCCGTCTGCTATTCCATCCAACAGTAGGTTGCAAAGAAGACGCAAATATACTAAAACTCCTCTGCTGGATGCAGAGACTGGCCTCAACCCAGACATTTCACCTTTTTCCTGTTATGGACCATGACCTCAGACTTAGACGAGCTGACTCTATTTCAGGCTGCTTCACACTCAGAAGCAAATAATTTCAGTACACACTGGAAGTTGTGGCCAGAAGAAGCCTAAATAGCCATGCCATGTGTAAAAAGAAAAGATGAGACTAGAGTGTCTCTAGTAGGTTGTACCCCAAAGAGCTATTTGTGTACGTAACAAAGTTAGTCACATCAGCAGCTCTTTTAGTTGGAGTCTTGGAAAGAGAGGTCAGTAAGTACAGAAAGATAGTCAAGTGTATAATACTTAGAAAGACAACATGAAGGTATTGGCAGCAATAGCTCTGTCAATGCTACCTTCAAGCAAGGTGTCACAGCTAAGAATAACGCCATCTCTGAATAAAATTTTATGAAGACATAAAATAGCACATGAAGTTTACAATTATTTATCCAATAATTGTAGATAAATCATAACTGATGACTAGTACTAGGAGAAAGTTGAGGAAAACATGTTAACATACTAAATACCTAATATAATACTGCAAAACTCTTATAATATCAATGACAGTGTGTGTCACTGTGTGCCTGTGTGAAATGATGGTCACTGAGCTTCTGAGCTAATCAGTCTTTACCCTCATTGTCTCTAGGTATCTATTTATGAACTGACAGATTAATGAACAGGTGTTAGGCCAACTGTCCACTCAGTGTGTTTGACTGTATAGTCAAATGTAAATGCTTGTCTGAAATGTACTTTTGAAAAAGAAAAATAAGTGGTATCTCTCAATAGAGACACTCAAATTTCATTACACATAAGGTTGTCTGATTTTCAGCTGAAGAAATTTCTCTTTTCCAGGTTTAGCACAATGTGACTGTCAAAATAGCAACCTTTCCCTTAGTTTGCATTTAAGAAAAGAAAGAAAAAGTAGCAATATTTGTATATGTGATTTAGCATCACACCAACAAAGGTTGTATCAACCTTCCAGACTACACAGGAGTTCTGGTTCTGGTCTGCTTTGGATCCCCAGAACCAAATATGGAGGAGCAGCATTCAGCTTCTATGCATCACAAATATGGAACCAACTTCAAGAAAACTGGAAAACAGATCAAACACTGAGTTCCTTTAAATCAAAGCTTAAAACCCAACTTTATTTTTAACTGAATTGGCAAATCAAAATTAAAAAGAAAAATCTTTAAAACATTTGTTGTCATGGGAACATATATTTACCTTTTTTCTTTTTTAATAAAATGCATAGGGTATGTGATTATCCCTGAATAACTTTAGGTTCACAGTTCAAACTTAGACTGAGGACTTTAAGTGGACAATTTATGTGCTCTCATGGGTTTTTAACCACATAAAGTTCTCTCCACTACCTAAGTGTATTAAATTATGATTTTACATTTTCCTTGAGTGTTATTGAGTGCCTGCCTGTTTGTGTTTCTGTTTCTTTTTGTTGCAGTTTCTTTATTTGGCTTTGCGATTTCAGTTTATTTATCCATTTATCATTGGTAGCTCTTGTACAGTAAGACCATAATATATTTAGAAGCATTAGGTATCCTAACTGCTCAACAGATTTATAGAGTGTCTCTGTATCCTGTGGCCCAGGAGTTAGCAACACTAAATGCTGATTGACAGGCAGGAGCTTCACCAGTAGACATACAGAGTGGACTGCAGATTTTTTTTTCCCTTACCTGAGAAGGTGTGTCCACTCCCTTCAACACTGTAGTGTTGTTCATAGGCTCAGAGGCTGTCAGCAGCCAGTTGTTAACAACATGGGCAGCGGGAGTAGCAGCGCTACCAGTGCATCTGCTAACAGGTAGGAACTAAGCCAAATAGATGGAGAGGGACATAGTAGGTCTTTTATTAAACTTTGTCAGTTTAGAAAACATAAATTCATTGTTTTATCAGTTTGAAGGTAAATGTGACATTTGCCAAGCACCGTTGCTAAGTAGTTTTGAAATTGATTCAGCTGATTATTTTTCTATAGATGGAATGGGTAGGCATGTGGCAGATTTATTTTCATTGTGTCATTTATTTATTTGACAAAGCTGATTAAGAGGCAAGATAATTAAACACCCTGGGAATAGATCCACAAAATGTACTTTACACTTATAATAGAAAAATGTATACTTTTTTATTTGTTTACAATTACAAATAAGTGATGATGAATTTAATATTAGCATTATTATTTTGCGCACATGTATATACTGTTTTCTATTCAGCACAAAATCTTTGGTCAACTAAATAACCAAAGATTTAATGACTGACCTCAGCAAAAGATTCCCCCCAAACTTAAACACAAAATCATTAGTGAAATCCCAGTCATGTCGTATAATTATCCATCGGTAGATGGCGACGCAGCACCACATTGAAGCAACTAGTAATTTACCCCTTTCATCTCTTCACTGATTGTAAATCAGAGGAGATGGCGCTGATAGCTAACAATTAATAAATATCTTTTTCCATGATTTATAAACTAAATGCAGGGGGGTAGAGGGATGATTAGAAAACTCCAAAGCAGCTACAGAATATACTGCAGCATGCCAAAATTGGATGCCTTTTAATTGTTTTACCTGCCGATATTGTGTACATCCTAAGCACTAATAAAGTGAAAAGCCATTAAAGGCAATGGACACCCACGTTGCATACTAATCCGAACGACAGTCTGACTACCTTCCTGAATGCGGTCACATGCTCTACTTTATGCTCTTGTGATGCTTTCACGCTTTCCCATTGGCTCTCTAACTTTACTAATCACTCCTATCATGTATCAGCATATCCTTCCGCCACGTTCTTTGCGTTTTATAAATACCCATCTTACCATAAGAGTCAGTATTTACATAAATATGCATTTCTCTGCTTTGGTTTCCTTAATGCTTGCCGCTGGTAAGGTTCCCTAAAGAGATCGTGCGCTTTTGCTTTTACTATTTGTCGGATGGATATAAGCATCCCTAGAAAGTAGTTCCATGCAGTGAGGAAATAGGAGGGTAGATCACCTTGAAGCTGGTCTCAGACTGCCAGCAGTCGCATCGCAGTAGACATCCCCTACCAGAGTTCAGGTGGGTACTTTCAACAGGGCTTTAAGTTCGCGTTTTTTTAAATAGTTTTGACATTTGAAAGCTTCTCTTAAGCAATTAGCCTCTCGATTTATTAGTAGCTTTATGTATCTTGCTGACAAATTTTGTCACGTTTAGGTCAGTAATTGATGTCAGTATTTTTACTCTGTTGCCTCATGCAACTCGATACTGTACATCTGAAAGAGTCATAAAAGCAGTATCTCAAATTAGATACGAGTTTTAAGTCCAACTATGTCAGCATTGAATATTAAAATTCAGTGTGTAGACAAGAAAAAGACGGCATTTCCCCCTCGAATACTGAGCAGCTCTTTATATTTGGCCACCCGCTATCTCTTTTATGTTATGAACTTATGCTATATTCTTCCGTAGTTTTGCATAGAAATTTTTGAAACGGTAATTTAACGTGATGCGTCAAGTCTTAGCCGTGGTAGAGTCGCTTCCTGTTGCCTCCTGCTGTGGGTGTGGCTCCTCCGGTTTCTTCGCCTCCCATTGGTCAGTTCGAGTGATGTCTGCAGCTCAGGAAAATGTGACGCAGGATGGGAGAACGTGACCTTTGCCGCATCGTCTGAAATTTAGCAGAAGCTGTATTTTACACCGAGATACTGTGTGTTCTGTATATGAATGTATAAAAATGAAGCTTGATCAGCTTGAGGTGTTTTAGTTCCTGAATACTTTTTTCTTTTGTTTAGACAATTTTCTTAATTGTCTAGAACCATGAAACTAGTATAGGGAAAATGCTGGCATGTAAATGTAGTCTGAAACGTGTCTTTTTTTTTGCTGCAACTGTGGTGCCGTAGATTTATGTAATGAATCGTGAAAAAAGGGATTATTGACATTGAATACAGATAAGTGAGGGCAGGTCTCACCTTGCCTGTGTAGGCCTGGACTGTCGTCCTTAGAATGTGAACTGTTCCAGACAGAACTAGACGAAATTACTAGAGAAGGGCCTTAATTTAAAGGTTAATTTATATGGACCCCTGATCAGATGCATCCAAAGTGACAGAGACTACTCACAAGTGTTTTGGTATGTTGCAAGAAATAATATTGTGTGCAAACACAAGCAGGTTTTGTCCTGTTTAAAAAATTATGTTGACAAAATGTTGTCTTTACTTTCAAAGGGTCAAGGTGAGTCAAAATGTGCACCATTATTGGTAGTGTCCAGAAATCACAATCAATTTTCAATTAAATGGCTTAGTGATCTGAGCACACATTAAGAAATCAGAATTATTTTGCCTTTTTTTTAACTATATGAAAGTTATGAACTCCCACACTTTTCAAACAGCAGCATATGCTATCACATTTGAGTTCAACAAAATAAGGCAACACTGAATGAAGATTTTGTGTATTGCAGTAATAAAAAAAATAGTTTTAGCAAAGTCTTTATGACGTACTGTTTTGGTAAAATGTTTTAGCTGCAGCAGATCTGTCAGTGTAGAAGGTCAGACATATCGCAGCTGGTCCTGCTCCCATGTGCAGGCATTTTATCTTTAATACCACTTCACTCTACAATTTATGGGTATTCCTTTACCTCTTCAGACCACTCTCTTTCTGAGGTTTCAGAGAACTTGACTTTTATGTTTGCATTTCACTTTAGGTACAGGTTTATGGAACCCATTGCATTGCAGAGAGCTGTGAGACGGTACAGGCATAGCTTACAATCATGAGAATGGATGTATTATGGAGTTCAATATTTCCACACACCAGCTTTCTAGGCTGTGTGTTATAATTAGCCCACATTCTGTTTTTAGCCTAGGGTCTGTGTGACCCACGGTAGCATTAGCATTGGTTAGACACTGTTCTGATGTGCTCTGGTGGGATTCTCGTGTCCGTCTGCTGGTTCAGTTTAGGGCGATTGCCCAGTTGCAGCAGGTGCTCTTCGTGTTCTTTATCCCCATTGAATGGATTTAAACTTGAGCTCCTAAAAGTGTCACACGCATGCACACTCACTTCAGCGGTCAACTCTGCTTTTGTGAGGCACGGCTTGCTCACTGGCATTGGACTTTCCAGCACACTGGGGAGGCTCTGGAGGCCCTTGTTTGTAAAGGGCTTGGTTGTCCCCAGGAGATACCAGAGGATCTACAGGGGGTATGTAGTGCAAACTATACACGCTACCTAGTTTTAGGGAGGGTGAACAATTGAAGACGCTTCTGTCCTTGGGAGCTAACTTGGATTAGCCTCATGTTACATCACATCCATAGTGGATGATGGGGAATGTCACGTCGCACTGGCAGCCATGCTTCTGTTGCTGTTGATTACTGTATAGGGATACTTCACATCTAAATGACCAAGATATGAGATTTGTTATCTTAAAACTATTTTTATGGTTGATGTCTTTGGAAAGGGATTGGAAGGGATTATTAGGTAGCCAACTTCTGAAGTTGTCCACTGCTGCAGTGATGCCTACAGGCTGTGCTAGTGTCACAGACCTTTTTTTTTCTCCTTTTTTTTTTTTAAAACTAGTATTAGTAAGGTGAGTTAGACAGGAAAAACTGCAACTGTTATCAGGGTGGTTTCCATATATTTTTTTTCCAATGTAGTTTAAGGTTGTGGGTGATATTCACAAAGGCATATGCTCAAGGTCTTTTAAATGAGGTAGCAATGTTCTAATCTTCTTTTTCTTTCTACTAAACTAAAAAAAACTGCATAAGTACATGCTGTAGGTTGATGCACTTATCGACAGAAAAGGTGGGATTTCTTGGTTTTGAATACGACAACATTTCAGATTGTTTTTGTGATCACCAGTCAGAGTTGATCAATGATACATGGGCAAATGTCAATTCCTAGTCTATTAAGTAGTGTCTCTCTAAAGCTGACTAGTACCTTTGGTTGGCTGTTTCATACCTTCAGAGGAGCAAGTTTGAGAGCTTTTTATCAAATTTGTAGCTTTTATGTTGCAGCTATTAATTCGTAGTTCACGGTGTACAGAGATGTCTCAAACTTGCTTACATTGTTTTGGGATACAGCATAGGAACTCATTTTGTTTGTATTTTATTTGGAATTATATGAAACAGTGAAATTATATTACAAAAATGAAAATACACCAAACAGCTCAACTCCTATCACTTCATATCAATCAGTTAAATTTGCTATGATCAATAACTTAAAATGCTCCAAGTGAATATTTGATAAATATAGGCTAAACCAGTGGTTCCCAAACTTTTTCTCCTGGGCCCCCCCAGTAGTTTCCAAACACTTTCTGCTCCTCCCCCCACCCACAGGAACCCCCCTGTGGATTACAATAGGGAGAGTTAGACTTTGGTCTTATTGAAACGATGTGTGTGACCCCGGGGGTGGGTGGGTGGAGCTGGGTAGTGGGGGGAGGGAGGGATTAGAGAGACTCCCTGTTTTATACCCCTTGTTATACAATGTGTGTCCAGTGGGGGGGGGGGGTGGGGGGGGAAAAGGGGACCCTTAGAGCCCCCCTGTTTAACCCTTCCACCCCCCAGCATGCACAGCATTCATCATTGTTTTTTTG